CTGCTTCTATTTTGGTCATAGACAAACACTTTCCAAAGAACTGCAATGCAATTAAAAAAGAACCTTCATACTGGGGCAGACTGCAACAACATTCACTGAAATGAGAACATTTATGCCAGTAGCAATCTATCTTTCTTGTAACTTTCTATTACTCATATTATGGAAGAATTTTCTGTTTCAATATGAAAGTTTTTCTCCTTATTAGTCCAGTTTCTACTGGATCTTGCGGTTTTGCTCATTTGCTTGGCAACTGAGTGATGCTGGAAATAAGGAAACATAGAAATGAGAATTCATTGCAAGTGTGAAAGATGTAGAAAGCTGGAGCTGAGACAAACAAGGAAAGAATTCTCTACTTCAATGCAAGTTTAAGGAAGCAAACATGAAAATTCATCACATTAAACTACTATTGTATGCCTCTGACAGAAAACAGCCTCCTCCTTCATTCAAAAGTTCTGCTCTTACCCTGCTTTGACCCACATCTCAGCAATATCTTTGTCTCACATCCTTTTATCATATTTCTGCCTCAGAAACAACCCTTTTCTGGCAAACATTCTCTTTGACTGCTTGAAGAAGTGTGTCAGGCAGACTGCTCCCCTGTCTTTGGGCTATAATATGAACCCCGTGCACCCTGCCTCTTCCCGTCTTTGTTTCCATTGTTCTAGGATCTCTTTGGAGACCACTGAAATGTGAGATAATTAATTTTGGGGACCTCTGGCAGGAAGCATTGTCCTCTTGGAAATTTGGAATCTTCTGCTCAGCATCCTTCTTACAGATACTTAGAAGAAATAACTGCAATTGCCACAGAGTTAATCCAAAATAATCTGCTTCTCCCATGCTGATATCCTTTCAGGGTATCAGTTCCTATTTTCCCCTCGTCATATTCTGCTTTTCAAAGAACAATGGAATAAGAAACCAAAGGGACCACAGCTGCAAGACTTGCAGATACCGACCACAGGACAGAACTGTTCCCCAAGCAGATGGCTCACTTGGATGCACTGCCCCAGCAACCACTGAGCTGCGAGAATCCCGGTGATTTAACTGGGGATAATACAAATCCCTAATGATGATAAGCAGCAGCAGCAGACAGAAGTCAGGGTCTCTGTTGTTACTTCTCAACAGATTAAAAGTTTCATGTTGGAAATCTGTACATAGCAAGTCATCAGCTGTTAGAGAACGTTGCCAAGGCAGCAACGGTTCCCATAATTGTAGCGGGAATTCAGTAATTTGGTTAAATACATAGTATTGAAAGAAAAGATGGTATCTTCAGGCCCAACCTTTGTCAGCACAAATGCAGACAAACGGTAGATTAACAGAAATGGCTTTATGGAAATGTAGGCTCTGGTGAACCAAGTTCCTAGATGTTTTTCTGGTAGAAGAAAAGATTATTTCTTGAATTTTTATACAAGTGGTAGATCTCCAAGATCAGTAACGCACTGAATTTTCTTTCTTCATGGGTTTTATCCCACCATTGAAATATCAGTATCCCTACAAATGTTTTTTTCCTGGGCAACAACAAATTTTGACATTTATAAGCCAAATGATAGCCTTCTTCCTAGAGACTCAGCTGATGGACATACGCCCTTCCCAGAACACCTCAGAAACATCAACATGAAGAGTTATAACCTGGGGTGGTAGGTCCCTTTCACTAAACAAAGCAGTAAAACAAACTCAGTTTCCTTACTATGTTCTAAGGGTGTAAGACGGTCACATCTGAATCCAAAACACGTTCTGATTTTTCCAAGTTTTTCTAAAGCTAAAAAAAAGAAAGAAAAAAAAGAAACCAAACCTTCCTTTGATCATATTTATGGTTAGGCATCCAGTCACAGTTTGAGAACAAAAAGCATTGCTACCCCAGTTTCTTCCTCATTCTTCGCGCCACTACCCTTTGACAAACAACTAACCCACAACAGTTACTATCTTACTAAATGCTGATGTCCTTCAATCAGGGTACTTTTTGGGGAAATATTTTGGTTTACAACTACATAATTAAGTAGTTTCCAATTCAGTTTATAGGAAGAAGTTTTTCTATGTCAATATCAAGACCATGGTGTATGCTTCAGAAAATATAAATCATAGCTTAGAATATTTTCTGGTTTCTGTACAACTGAATGTCAACAACTCCCTATGACCTTCAAAATAGCTCTGTAATGCATACAAGTTAAATAAACCAGTGACAAAAAAGTGTTATACAATGAAAAAAGTCCACATACAATCACTTAAGAATTCTTCAAACAAAATACTTTACCAAGTTGGAGCCACTCTGAGAAGCATGGTGTCCAGTCTCGGAGCAGCACATGGGAGGTTCGGGCACATGTGATTCATTTCCTGAATTCAACAGAAAAAAAGTGTCTCCAAGAAAACAGTCATCATGCTGAGGATGCAAATTGCTTCTGGCAAAGGGGTTAGGGTGACAACACCACTCTTCAACTAAAGCACTCCAGTTTTCACTTGGTAGAGGAAGAACTCTGAGAAATTTCCTAAGAGGGAAGAAATTAAAAAAAAAATTACAATATATTACATTCTTTTCTGAGACACTTAAAGAGAGCTTAGACTCCTTATAAAAAGGAGAGAAAGTATGGCATTTTCTAGAAAGGAAGTGCTTGACTCTCAGTCAAAGGCACTTTCTTTGTATGAATTCTGAGAAAGCAATGGCTGAATGTTTCCTGCCAAGTTTGTAATGAAGCATTTCCCAAGGGTGAATTTCCAATGAACGCGAGGCAGAACTTGGCATAATCCTCTCTTGAAATGAAATACATGGCAAAAATAAAACAGTTCTATCCAGTCATAAAAACATAACAATTGATGTTTTGCAATTATATTTATTGTTACTTCTTGTAAAGTTCCCTTGCACCAAATGTTGACATAAACACAACAGAAGCAGACCTCTGTCACAGTAAGGGAGAGTATGTCCTTTGAAGCCCCCCAGAGTCAGATACCAGACTTTGAAAAAGCTAAATCACAACAAAAATACTACACAATGTCTTGATTAAAAATAAAAAAGGGATAATGCAATCTTAATTTAGATTCAGATTCAGCTTTTAGAACTCATGTACAAAAAAACCCAAATCCCTTCCTCCTGGGCAGCTGTATGGACCAAGGAGGCTGCTCCAGGCAGTACCAGACTTTGCTTTTGTTATCAGTGTTGTTTTTTAACTTACTTTGTTTGGATACACACAGTGCCAGAGGATTTTATAAGCCAAGGTTTGGAATCACTGCTTTAAGTTTTAAAATATACTCTTAAAGCTAGAATATATACATGTGGCTATATAAATACTAGCTTGGTCATTATGAGTGAGTGTTCAATCCTTTCCTGCCTAGAGTTCCTAGAGCCATTCTGTGGTCCCGTCACACGTTTTTATTAAAAATGTAGAAGTATTGATGGATACTGTCCATATATTTACACTTTCTTTAATCTGTGTTTTCTGGAAAACTGTCGCACTGGGAAGAAATGCAGCCCCTTTACCAAAAAAAAAAAGTGTCATGGCTTTAACAGTGTGTACCCCTCCAACAGTTTTCTAGATGCACTGTCTGCTGCAGAGCGGCGCTTTCTGCTCTCTGCCTAGATTCCTTGAAGGCTTTCCTTTTATTCCCTTACTTCTGCTATTGCCTGAAACCTTCACACAGTTTTGTGATTGTACTCCTTACTCAAAACTTGCAAATACAACTTTATTTATGGTGCTACTTTGCAAATAAACACACAGCTACCAAGCCAACAGTCAGACACCCTCCCTTTCTTGCAGTTCGGTCTGTTCTTTTCTGAAGATGCCAGTTCTTCCCATTGCAGTTTTTTGTCCCTTTTGTATTGTTCGGTGAGTACAAGTAAAATTTTTTATAAAAACTTACTTCTTTCTAGATCGACAATACATTTTAAACTGTGCTTGCCCCACCTGCAGATGAAAGTTGGAATAACTCGTTCTCTGACCCAGCTTTACTTATCATAACTAAATAAGATCACCTCTCTGTGCTACCCATCACTGTCTTTGCTCTGTGGTCTTGCATTGCCTGAGATACAACCACAATTCTGCCATGGTGGGACCTTAATTCTGGTGTTGGCCTAATAACTGATTACTCGTCAGCCTTGTACTACTAGTTCCAGTGCCCAGACTCACACCGAAAAACAGAAGTGTTCATTCCTATGTATTGCTCTTCACACTGCAGCAACAAAAAGCTGGTATTGCTCAGCGTGCATTGGGTTTGCGTGGCAAGGTTTTGGTAGCATTGGGGCTACAGGCGTGGGTTCTGTGAGAAGCTGCCAAAAGCTTCCCCCGTGTCCAATACAACCAATGCCAGCTGGCTCCAAGATGGACCTGCCGCTGGCCAAGGCTGAGCCCATCAGTGACGGTGGTTACACCTCTGTGATAAGATATTTAAGAAGGGGGAAGAAAAATGCAGCTGAGGAGTGAGAATATGTGAGAGAAATGACTCTGCAGACAGCAAGGTCAGTGAAGAAGAAGGGGGGAGGAGGTGCTCCACGCACTGGAGCAGAGGTTCCCCTGCAGCCCATGGAGAAGACCATGGTGAGGCAGGCTCTGCCCCTGCAGCCCATGGAGGTCCACAGTGGAGCAGATCTCCACCTGCGGCCCATGCAGGACCCCACACCAGAGCAGGTGGATTGCAGAAGGAGGCTGTAACCCGTGGGGAGCCCCGTGCTGGAGCAAGCTTCTGGCAGGATCTGTGGCCCCGTGGACAGAGGAGCCCATGCTGGAGCAGGTTTGCTGGCAGAACTTGTGACCCCATGGAGGACCCAAGCTGGAGCAGCCTGTTCCTGAGGGACTGCACCCCGTGGGAATGGACCCACGCTGGGGCAGTTTGTGAAGAACTGCAACCTGTGGGAAGGACCCACGTTGGAGCACCTCGTGGAGGACTGTCTCCCATGGGTGGGACCCCATGCTGGAACAGGGGTAGAGCGTGAGGAGTCCTCCCCTGAGGAAGTAGCGGCAGAGACAAAGTGTGATGAACTGACCGCAACCCCCATCTCCATCCCCCTCCATTGCTCAAGGGGAGGAGGTAGAGAAAATCTGGAGTGAAGTTAAGCCCAGGAAGAAGGGAGGGGTGGGGGGAAGGTGTTTTGAGATTTGGTTTTATTTTCTCATTATCCTACTCTGAATTGATTGGCAATAAATTAAGCTAATTTCCCCAAGTTGAGCCTATTTTGCCTGTGACAGTAATTGGTAAGTGATCTCTCCCCGTCCTCATCTCAACCCACAAGCCTTTCATTATATGTTCTCTCCCTCGTCCAGCTTAGGAAGGGGAGTGACAGAGCAGTTTTGGTGGGCACACGGCATCCAGACAGGCTAAATCACCACACTCAGTAATGTTTTTTCAAGTGCTACATACAGGAGGAAAAAAAGACAGAGATTATCTTAAGCTGCAGACTAATACTGTCCAGTTTTGTTACATTCCCCTTTCTTTACCTGTATTTGTAGAGTATCAAGATCTTGAATTCTTGCCCAACAAAAGCAGTTGCTTCAACCAGTAGGAACTTTCTAAACAGACTCCTCCTAACTTTGAGCTACACAGAAAATACAGCATTTCCACTATATTTTAGGCTTTTGCCATTCATAGGTGGGACGCCATATTCTGGATCACTAGGACTGGAAAAAGGTAACACTAATAAAAATTTAGCTTTCCAGAAAAACAACAACAAAAAAAAGAAGCCTGAAGTTTACTGGGTGCTAACTAACTTGAGGCTAATATAGTAATATAAATATAGTAATAAAACTTAGCTAACAGGGGGACTTTATCTCCCCAAACTTGCTCCTAATAACAACTGAGTTTCTACTTTGAGCGACTCACCTAGGCTGCCTTCAGTCAGAGAGCGACAAACAATTCTTATGTTGGGACGTTTAAGAGATACTTTGTCCTTCTGGAAGTGTCTAATATAGTCAGGCTGAATCTCCTTCTGAAGATAGTTCTCTGTCTCCAAACAGAAACCTAGGTAATTAACTTCATCTTAAAAAGCTAGAAGTTAGGCACTAGTCTAAAAGAGACCTGCCATAAGGATGTAATTCTTAGGTGAGCTTCCATGCTAAGGTAATAGAACATAGAGATCCTTGTAAGATTGGACTAAGAAAAATAATCTCTAACCTCATTATTAACTAATATCCAAGATCCCAGTAATATCTTCTGATATATTGAAAATTCCAAAAAATGGAAGTAAAATGGACTTTAGACTTTTAAACATATAATCCTTCTGTTCCATCAGAGAAAAAAAGAGAAAGAAAAAAGATCAAAACGAATATCTTTAACAGCAGTATTCCTTATATACTTACTAAAAAAATCTTGGAAAGCCCAGCTTGCCAGTTGACTGTCATGCTTAAAGTTATTTAAGCAGGAAAAGTGTAATAGAAGATTCCCTCTGCCATCAATTTTTCAAGAAAATACTTATGTAGTACAAATTCTTAACATTTAGACTAAGGAAAAGGTTTATTGCTTAATAGTGAACTTATGAAACTTCTTTTTCACAACATTCAGCCTTTAAGGATTTCTTAATGACAGAAATAAAGTCTTAGAATTATTTTATATATAAGCTACACTTAGCCTAACTGGAAGGAGAGAAATTAAAAGCATCCCAAATTCTTTGCACCTCATATATCATGGAAGAAAAAATACATATAATCACTTCCTCTAATGTGGGTAATGTGAGGGTAACGGAGAAGAATCAGAGAGCATAACCCTAAGCTCTGAACAGCTATCAGATTGACGGAAGGAAACAGTCTGAGCTAGGGGATTTCAGAAAATGTATAGAGTCTATTTGCTTGCATCAGGGAAGGATCACTTACATTTAAACCACTCCTAGCATATTTCTCTAATCTAGTCTTTAAATTTATGGCTTCCTATGCAGTCTCAAATAGCAAAAATTAAGCTTTAGAACAGATTTGGCAGGTTGTGAGTTTTTTTTATTTTAACCCAAATTCCTCTTGCTTCAGTTGCAGACTACTGCCGCCTTCTTTGCAACAACTTCTTATATATTGGAAGCGTACAACATCTTCTCCACAGCCTTATCTAAACTAAATCCTATTTATTTCAATTTCTTCTCAACGGTATCATTTTCTACATCTCAGGATTTTCTTTTTACAGACCCTTTCCTAGTAATTCACGCTTTAATAAGTTCCCTCTCACACAGTTGTGTAACTTCCCTTCGATCCCACCACTTCTGCTGCCCTTGTCATACTCACTCTCCCTGGAGAGACCAACACATGAATTCTGTAGCTAAAAGTACTGACTACGCTACTCTCTTCCTTTTGGAAGTGCTGGAACAGAAGGTGTTGGATACCCTGGCAGCTCCACTCTTCTACTCTTGTCTTAATATTTTTTTAGTGATAACATTCAAGGGGCTCAGAGGTTCCCTGCAAGGAGGAATGCAAAGCAAAGAGCCATGAACACGCCTTCTTTCTCCTTTCTTAAAAATTCTGACTGCATCATGTTATAGGATGCAGAACCAAAGGATGTAAACTCCATGCACATGAAATTGATGCGCTAAAATTCAGGAAAACTCCCACTCAGAGACCAAAATATAAAAGTGCAATACCTTTTGAAAGCAAATGTTACTGACTAGAAATTAGAAATTACATTATTCTACAAATGTATCAAAGTAAGAGTTATTGCTACACTTTCAGATGAGACATTTCAGAAGAGAAAGCCAGGAAATTCTCACTCAGTTACATTCAAGCCAGCCATAAATCCGTAGGTATGAAAAGAAAGTAACAGGAGTTTACAGATTATACCATATTTGTATCACCATTTTGAGTATTAGGAGTGACACAGATCATAAAAGGCTGCAAGTGCATCTCTAACCATTCTTACATATCCAGCTGAAGCTGTCAAAACTGTTCATCAGAAGCGACAGAAAATGCAGCAGCTTTTTATTAAAATTCTCATTCACTCTGCAGACAGAGCACAGAGGCACAGAGATGAGGCCGAGTCACACAGCTGAGAAACAGCTCCTGTGTTTCCCAAATTCAGCATCCCTGAACTATGTGGAGCTTGGCTTTGCTTAACAGATAGAAGGGAGCTGTGGTCAACATCCCCATTCTGAGCATCCACCCTGTAACTACAGCACGGTGACTGAAGGGAATTTATAAGAGACTGAGCAGAACTGACAAGGATCCCTGAAGTTCAGAGGAAGAAAGAAGTCTAGGCTCAAATTTTTAGCTTTACTTCCTTCAGCATAGCAAAGACGCCAGCTACTAATACACTATTTTTTAAACCAATGAAAACTATGAACATTTGCAGTATTTCCAGGCCAAGTTGTTACAGCTTTTTGTTTGTACAGCAAAACCAGAAGCTATTATGATGAGTGCAAAGAGATTCTGTATGAACAAAAAGCACAGATCTCAAAGCAGAAATTTTACACGTGGGGAAGTCCAGCTACAAAAGGAAATGTCTTGCTCAAAGAACAGCAGCAGACAAGCAGGAAAAGAATCCATATCTCCCAGCTTCCACGGCAATGCACCAAACTCACTTCTTAAGGTACTCTTCTACGTTCCAGCCAGAATGAAACCAAGCAGTAAATGAATCAACGGTGAAAAACTGTTTCAGGTAATTTTGCTTCTAGTCACCCATAGTGCTTCCAAAGCGTTCTCATCTATCAATTTCAAAATAAATAACTTTAAGCTGTCTCTCTAAGTACACAAAATAACATGAATACCAAGCACTACGGCATTTATTGCTATCCATACAAGACACCGCAGTACTCACCGATCTTTTGCTATGATGTCACCACAGGATTGACAGTAAAAGACATAATTCTTCTGGGGTTTCAGGCTTTCCCTCAAAGTAAAACCCAAATCTATAGACAGAAGAAGACACATTAATCTTCAAAATTGTGTACAATTTTCAGTCACTTGTACAGAAAAATCCTGCCATATACCTCAAACCAAAAAAGATAAGAATCTAACAAACAAAGCAAAATGCTGACATTTTTAACACAACATCAATTTATTTACCTGTAGAAGCAAGTACTTAGATTTAGGAAAAACTTGCCATCTCCACCTCATGCCCTGTATTGCTCTGTAGGAATTGTATATATGAATAATTATTTTAAAGGTGCAAATCCTCTCCACAAGGAGAGCTGACATATTGATATCATTACAGGGACTATATAAATTAAAATCCATTGCCACTCTTTTGTAATGACATTTCTGCTAATCAGTATCTCTGCAATACGAGGGTACATCGCAATATGCAACACAAAATAGTCGGGGGGGGGGGGGGGGGGGCTGCAGGCCAGCAAAGCAAAAATGGTCTCACAAAAGGCAACTTGGACAACTTTTCCAAATTAAAAAAGGAGCTATAAAAGCCTCCAAAAATTATCAAACATTAGGTGGAAAAAAAGTAAAACTGTAAGCCTAGCTCTGTGTATGAGTATGTTTTGCATTGCCTGTTTTCTCAGACTTAAGAATCAAAGTTTATTCTCAGCACTGACATTCAGTATTTAAGATTTACGTTGCAAACACAAATGAAAAGTACTTTAAAAGGTTCCAGAATTTCATATAAGAGACATCTTGTTTTTCATACTAATATAAAACATTAAAGGCTAACTAAGGTTATCCAATACACATGTTGATTACCATCTGATTTACATACGTGTTTTTCACTGGTACAACTTTCAAAGGTAACTTTCTAAAACTTCATCTCTGATCTTTTGAAGCATGCCTCACTAATAAGACACACTACAGCGTTTTTGTATAATTGAATATGCACAGAAGCAACCTCAGCATACCATAAAATCAACACAGTATTCCAGTGTGTTTCTGGAGCTGAAACCACTATTGTCCATCACATACTCTGTTGATCATTTCTACTTTAAAACCACAGAATGACAATTTTGTGTTATTCAATCTACCTGTCCCGCATCCTGTTGAATGAATCTAGACATATGAAGCGCGGATGCTAGAACGAAAGCACCAGCTAGCCTACCACGCTTCCTATTTGTGCAATCACATCCCAGACCTGAGTTAGCATCACAGGCGTAAAGAAGGAAACTTTGCAGCTGTTACCTGCAACGTTCACCTTCTGCAAACCGGGGCTGTGAGAAGAAAACCACAAAACCACCATCCTTTATGATTAAGCGGCCGGTGACGGCCTTAGCGCGACAGCCTGGGTGGAACCGTAGCCCTGCACTTCCAGCAACCGAACACAAAACAGGAGGGAAGGGAAATAATTCCAAAGGGACATGGGAAAGCACGGGGGAAGAACCGACAGCAGGGCTCAGACTCCCACACAAAACACTCAACAACCGCGCTTCCCTTCCGCTACTCTGCACTTTTGGTTTTTAAAAGTGACAAGTTTATTAAATTTTATCAGTTCGTGTTTAGATCTTCCACTCAGAGCTAAGGAGGCCCCTTTAGAAAAAGCACCACCATGCGCACAATGCAAACCACGAACTGAGGCTGGCTTGGGTTTGTTTTGTGCTTTTTTTTTTGTGCTCCGGAATCCACACTTTAAAGCCTCCGTTCGCACGTCGCTTTCACCAGCGCGGTCTGAGCTAACGCCCCGCGGGCCCAGCCTTCATCCCGCTCCC